AAATAAAAGGAACTACTAGTAGATTACAGCATGACATGAGCCAGTGGATGACATCAAGGTGCCTCTGTTAAAGCTAGAAAAAGGTATAGTATTGATTAGGAGTCAAATGTAACTTACCACTGAAATAATGACAATGTACACAGATTCCTTCACTCAATCTCAGTGGGACTAACTGGGAAGCAAGCTTCTCTACTCATGGGAAAAACACACATTTCTATGGAACGTGTAGAGGATTTCTGCCTTGTGAGAGTTTGGTGTAGTTTTTAGTTTGTAAAGTGAGGTGTCTGTCAATGAGAAATCTAACTTACCTTCTAAATCTCACATCAACATTAAGATGTTTATTGGCAGTTGTGAATTACCAGACCTCTGTTAACTTTATGGTGCCAAAAGAACTCACTACAAGACAGCTATTCCTCTTTCAGTTATCTGACTGGTTAACAAGCAACAGATAAGCTCTTGTGAGGAGCAAAGTGCCCTGCTACAGGCCAGAGATCCCTGAAAAGAGGAGATTAACTTTCCTGTTCTGTCTGTGGGTTTCATGTCAGAACACATCTGTGTGTTGTTTTCATTACAAATGAGTCACTTTTGGTTATGAAGTAATGAAATCAGGATCTTACATCTCTGCACACTAATACTAAAAAATCTCATCTTATCTTTTAAAGTATAATGTAGATATGGGCTTTTTCAGTGCCTACTGTTCGCCATTTCACATCTGTCATGCTGCTGTGTTGTTTAGGAACATTGGTTAATTCTTTATTCTCTTAAGAAAGGTGTAAATAATGAAGTAAATGTCTTCCATCAATAATTTGAAGGACAGTGATAACCAATAAGCCAAATTTGTGCATCGTGAACCTCCACACTTGTTCATGCAGATTTTGTACTTCCTCCACAAGGAATAATGGATTCATATCCATCCACCTGCCTGAGCTGGCAGTGTGCTTAATTGCCTGCACCTTTAACAACTCAGTGGAAATGCCGCCAGAAAAACAATTGCAGGCATATATAGCAGTGTGTTGCATGTCTATAAACAAATAGATCTCCCCATAGATCTGAGGGAGTAGTAAATTACCAGTCATTAATTGAAGAAATTGCAGTGAAGTCTGGCGTAGGTGATAGAAAATCAAAAGTTTTTCCAAACAAGCATTTTTTTCTTTCGTTTTCTTCCTCCTTTATTTCTCTATCTAATTACTTGTGCTAGATAATTTTATTTCTGTGTTTCACATGCACACAGCAGTGCTACTGTCTTGCAACAACTTAGAAATTTACTTAAGTTTAACCACCTACATAAGTATTTGTGAGAACATGGCCAACAGGTTAATTACTTTTGTTAGTTTCTTGGAAGAGGCACTGGGTTCTTTCAAGGGATTGATGCCTAGCAGCTATTTTTGGAAATTGTTAGCAGCAAACATGAAGAAATGAGAGTTATTTTAATTTTTTTTCACACACGGGTGTCTGATAAATGTAAAAAAATAAAGTGAATCCCTTCTTCTGTGTTTGCAACCCCTAGAAGCTTTAATTACTGAAAAAAATCAGGCATAGCTATTCATGCATTTTGAAATGTTTCTGGAGCTTTGCCAGCTAATGTGAGCCAGTGTTGCTGAAGTGATTTACTAATTAATTGGTTGTTACAACATTTGAGTAGAATCTTGCACTCGAGTCAATAAAACTTAAGGAGGAAAAAACCACTGTTGAGTGCATAACTTAATCAAGGACGTAGCACTCTGAAAGGCCTTCTGGGTCTAAATAGAGAGAGGACTTCATCTTCTAAAAGGTGAAATGGGCCGTTATGGGGCAGCTGGTTCAGGCAGTGTTTTTGTCTTCTGACTTCTGTGTGCCACCACGTTAAAGTGACCCTATATGTAGCGATTATGGATTGGCAGTAATTAATTTGAAATCCTTAAAATTTAGATAGATTAGCCTCTAATTTTCTCATTCAGGGATGATCTCTCCACAACTTTGCAAAACAATTGATCAGAAATGACCATATTTTTGTTGCAAAAACTGTCCAGAATGGACAAAGGCATATCTACTGAGGGATTGGTGCTGCAAGGAAGTGCTTAACTCATCACTCAGTTACTAAAATCAGTGTTGAAGAGCTTGACTATGCTGGTTGCATGTTCACTTGTGGGGGATCTGCAATAGGAATGGGAAGGAGCAACAGCAGAAACCATCACTTGAGGGATGATGTATTCTCTGCCTGCCTCTGTGAGACCCATGTGATACCTGAAACTTGGGAGCACAGGACAGGGACTGAGCATTGCTTTGCCCCAGACACCTTGAGTAGCCACATCCTCAGTTAATGTCCCCTGAATTCGAGGTGTGACAGGCACCTGAATGTTGAGTCCATCACAGCTCTGTACCTCAGTTTTCAAGGGGAAGTTCTGCCCTCTCTCTTTAGACTGGATATGTGCTGGATATGGCAGAGGATCATCCCCTCCTCTTTCTGCACAATGGTGCCAGCAGCATGACTCCTGGAGTTTGTAATAGAGAATGGGAGTATAAGATTTGGGATTGAAGTTTTAAAAAATAAGCTGTATGGTGCTCTTCTTTATAATAGAATCTGTATTACAGATCTGCCAACAAAGTACTAATACTTCATTCTTGTTTCTTATCTAAGCCTTTTAACCTATTAAACAAGATTATAAATATAGTCATCAAGAAAAATAGGCTTAAGTTAAATGTTAAATTGTTACAAAAATAAGAATAATGTTCCTGATTAATTTTCTTTGTCAAATAGAACCCTAAATGGTGTTGAAACTCGTTACTTAATCAAAGAGCTGTCTAAATTGTGTGCATTTATATTTAAAAAATTAAAACACAATTTCCCCAGAAGATAAATAATTATGGTCCAATTTTATAAGTGTATCTTCAATTGTTAGAACATACTTTAAATAGGAGCAAATATGTACCAATTAATTATGACTTAGAACATTATTCTTAGCTCATTGTAGAGCTTTATAATTCACTCTCGAAAAAAAGAAATCCCTGTGAAGGCAGAGCACGATTTTAATTATTTTTTTCTAACTGTTTAATTTTTAACTTTTTCTCCCAAAATGTTTAATTTTTAAATGAGCTCGACTAGCTACATATTTCATTCTCACCATCATATCTCTAATGCAAGAAAAATAAAGTTTAATAAATTGGATCAGTATTCAAATTAAAGCCATTTAAAGTGATGCTCTTAAACATTTACTTTTATTCTTCTGAAGTATCCATCAATCATATTAGCTCTTTAAAAATGAGAGCAGCCTTGAATGCACAGATGAGGTTTCACTAGAAACAGGATGTGTTCTGCAGTGTTACAACCCAAGCAGTACCAAAATAACGGTAATTTTATCCACTTGACTCGGTTAATACAAGGGGCAAACATCCACATGCTGATCTAGTGCCTTGGAACTGCAATTTTCCAGGAACCTATAATACTAAAAAACCTGTAGACTGGAGAGATTTCAGATATTTAGATAATGATAAAATACACACCCAAAATGACTGGACAAGAGAGAAAGCAAAAATCCCCACAAATGGACAAAATTCAATTAGAGGAGTCTCTGTAGGGGCAATAGTTAAAGAGAAATTACTTTGGGGATATTTGCATTTTCATAAGCAATTTTCATTTCCACAAGAGGAACCCTCCCTGTCTATAGTGCTGATTACAAACCTCTCACAGGAGTAGTTTGTAGTGTTTCATAGCTGTACATTTTGTAGTTTCTGAAGGTAAGCCTTTTAAAAGCAGTATTTGTGTCCAATGTCTTGGTTTGTAAGGGCTGAGTTTTTTCACATTGTCCTAATTACTTAGCTTATAGGTACAGACCTAAAACTTCCCCTGGAGCAGTTGATTGGATGATTTTGATTAGATCTGCAGCACTGCAAGTATACTACTACTGATTTGTTGGCAGTAGAGTTTTCTTAGCAAGGAAAATGGTGAAATCTAGGCTATGATCATGGGATCAGCTCCATCCCTTAAGGTCTCCGTCCTTGCCAGAGATGCAAATAATCCTGTGCTTACTGACTACAGTGCTGCTAAAATTGCTGGTGTTGGCCCTTAGGAAAAAATGGCTAGCTGGGAAAGCCCATTGAATTGATATGTTTTACTGTAAATTTTGAAAGTGAGGAGTGCTGTCTATTCTGGGGTTAGACATCCACTTCTATGTACATCTGCTGCTGTGTCTGTACTAGCCAAACAGAGTGACAATCCTACCAGCCCACAGTTCCTACCTGAATTAGTGGGACAGTGGTACAAATGTTTCAGCTTCTGTGCTTGTATAGGAAACATAAGCAAGGTAGGAAATTGAAAGCCCAGCTGAGACCTTTTTAGAAGAACACTGTACATATGCACATACTATATATATACTAGGTCTGAATTTGGTAATTTAACTGTAGTTTGAGTTGATATTAATTTAACAGTAATTACCGTTCTCTATGGCACAGCTGGTTTTTTACTGGTATTATGTGCTAAAAAAACCCCAAACAACCAGATCTTTCTGTTTTCCTCACTCCTGACAATATCATGTTTAAGTATTATTGTCACAGCACATCCTTTCTTACTTGTATGTTATTCTATGAAGATAAGCACTTTCCAGCCCAAGAAGGAGGAGTTTCTGGTTGCTCAGGTCCTATTGTAAAACAGTGCAAAGGACAAGAAGAGCAGATTTGGCACAGAGCCCAGCAAAAGTGATATGATCCCGTACTAATTTGGAGAGCTTATGTTACCTGTAGGTTATGTGGCACATTGTGAGTTGATGAACTACGTGACCAAATTTTGTAGTCTTCTGACAACGTGACGGTGTTATGAAGAAAATGGCAAGCATGTGCTATCCTTTAGAAAGCCCATTAGGATGGCCTGGAAGATGTTGGTGGCAGGAAAGAGAAGCAAATGTAATTTTCAAAAAAACCCATTACTGTTGGACAGTAATTTTGAAGTCTCAGAAATGGTCCTCCTTTGTATCCAATATCAGGAGGCTGCTTGTTTACCAGAATGCTAATACTGACTTCTCTTGTAGAATCCCACTCAATGTGAGAGACATTGTCTACTGTACAGGAGTTTCACTGATGGATGAAGATGTATGGGAGTTCATTTGGATGAAATTTCATTCTACCACAGCAGTGTCTGAGAAGAAAATACTATTAGAAGCCTTAACTTGCAGTGATGACAGAAACTTGCTCAACAGGTAAAAAATATTCTATATTTGAATCTGTTACTAGTAATCGCTTCAACAGTTTTGGGTCATCACTTGAGCTTTCATCTAAAGGACAGAAATTTGCTTTTCAAGTACAGGCTTACTGTCTGTTTAAACTATCTTACACTTTTGCATTAATGCATATGAAAATCGACACATATTATGTTTTCAGTTCCAGATTTTCCTTTGTTCATTGGAAATGTTTAAAATCTTGTAATAATTGTCAGGTTTTTTTGGTACCATGTCCTTTATTTACCATGTCTTGACCATTCTGATCTTACAAATTTTATAAAAGTGCGCATGTAAAGTTGCACTCAGCTTTTACTGAAATCTTTTTACCTCAGGATTTTTCTGATTCCTAAATGTGTCCAGTCTTTGGAATCATAGAAATAAACCACTGAACTCATTTGGAGACTTAAAACAATTCAGCAGTTATCTTTTTTTTCCAAGAGTTTTCTGATGGACTGATGTTAGACAATGTGTTTGTGAAACTAAATGTTGTTTCTCCCACTAGACTTTTGAATTTGTCTCTCAACTCTGAAGTTGTCCTGGATCAGGATGCAATTGATGTGATAATCCACGTAGCTCGAAATCCGCACGGAAGGGATCTTGCTTGGAAGTTTTTCAGAGAAAAATGGAAAATACTGAATGCTAGGTAAAGATAATAATTCTTAATTTATTTTCATTTTCTTATCTTGATATAATTTGTGTAAGTATTGTAGAGGTGTATATTTATGTAAGTTCCTGAATCTAGTCCATTCTCTTTTAATCCATAAATAGAGATGTCTCTAAATATGAAATAGCTACATATGAGTCATAAATGCATTTATTCATGGATTATCACACACACGCATAGAGACATTTGTCTCTTAGCAATCATCTGTATATATATTAGTGTATTGTGTCTGTGCTTATGATAATGAATTTTATCTATATATGAAGTGCTGCAGTCGTATTTTTACTCAGAGAAAAAACGGCAGTTCCCAGAGGAATTTTTCTGGTTTAAAGTTGGATAGAAAAAATACTCTTTTCAAAAATATTATTTCAGCCATGGAAAAAATTCACATTTTGAAACATTTAAATTTTCAAAAGGATGTTAATATAGTGTCATCCCCTTTCTTTCCACTCTGTATTTTAGGTGAGTTTCAAGTAATAGAGGAGCAGCATTTTGAATTAAAAATAGATGGACAGGAGACAAGGTTGCTCCTTACAACTGCTTCTCTGTCTCTTTGAACAAATGCTACAGGCTCCTACTCTGAAGCCCAGTCAACATTTTAAAATCCTCTTTTGATGAAGATTTTGATATTAATTCAATGAGTCATAAATTTCTGTAGTTCTTCAGGGACAGCCTGAGGGCCTGAAAGATTGCACGGCAGCTCATCTGATACTGACATATTAAAAAGGACCACAACTTGGATGAGATTCAGATTCTCAAAGGCAGATGTCCAAGATTTTGAGGCATCCCATGCCAGGTCACACCTTTGGTGTTGGCAGGAGAGGCATTACAGATCTGTTCCATTCTGGACTTGCGAGGAGCCAACTGTTGTACCACAGAATATTTGAAATGGTATATTTAAGGTGCTGTATTTAAGTAAATCCCAGTGCCTGATGAATACGTGTACAAACTTCCTAGAGGTTTCACAGCATCAAAGTAAGACTCAAAGAAACTCAGACCCTGAGTTTAGTTTTTCCAAAAATTCAGAAAATTGTTCATGCTGTTTTGGATAATACTTAGTGGTGTAGTGAGATTTTAGAAGAAGTTCATCTGGGAAAATAGGTTTGAGTTGGATTTGGTTTTGGAAATTTTTATTGCAGGAGCATACTTCTTGAAAGCCATTTCCAAAAAAGCTCCAAAAGTACTGAAGAGTTTAAAAATTAAGAATTCTCTGCTTTTGGTGTTATTATTCCAGAAACTGGACTTTTAGACAGAAACTGGATGGCAGATGTATTACTATTGCACAAGCCAGTTCAGATAGCAAATAATTTTTCAGGTCCTCCAGGGATTTATCCAGAGTTTAGGCATAAAGCCATCACAATCTGTATTGCTACAAACACATATGCTGTAGCTGTGTCCTGCCTTAGTAAATATATTTGTCTGACAACCTGGCTAACACCTGTGATTTTAGATGTGGACAGTATTAAGCAGTGTAGACAAATAGAAAATATTTAACAAACTGTGCCACATGCCAAATCTTTTGGGTTATAATTTAAAATAGCTTAACTTCACCTAGAATTTGAATTATACTTATTTCACTTGCTAGGGGTGCATCACTGTGTAATCTGAATTCATAACAATCAGTAAGACCTCATCAAAGACCTGTTATTGTCCTTTTTTAAATGAAAATAACAGAGAGTTTGTCTTTTTGCTTGACACTCTCTTTGTGTTACCTTCATTCAGTTTGATCTCCACACACAAGTCAGAGCCACCAAAAATATTGTAGCAGTTGCTTTTTCTAAACGTGACATCCAGTTGAGTTTCTTTTGATCACCAAAAGCTTCAGTGTGGTGAAATGAAATAGTTAATGCAAGCTGTACATACATGTTATATAATAAAAGTAATGTTGTTTTGTAATCATAGATTAGAACCTTTCAGATGAGACTTTGATAGAGTAGACTCAGACTAATTAATACCTTTCCCCTTAACTGTTCAGTGAAACAGTGACACAATAGCATGCAAGGTCCTACACCTCGGTCACGGCAATCCCAGGCTCAGCCACACCCAGACTGGGCAGAGAAGTGATCCGAGAGCAGCCCTGAAGAGAAGGACTTGGGGTGATGGTTGATGAAAAACCTCAACATGACTCAGCCATGTCCATTCACAACCCAGAAAGCCAGCCCTGGGCTGCATCCAAAGCAGAGTGGTCAGCAGGGCAGGGCAGGGGATTCCACCTACAGTGCTGTGTGCTGTTCAAGTGTCCCCAGAGTAGGAAGGACATGGAGCTGCTGCAGCAAGGAAGGCCATGAAGTTGGTGAGAGAACTGGAGCACCTCTCCTACAAAGACAGGCTGAGGAACTTGGGGCTGTTCAGTCCAGAGAAGAGAAGGTTGTATGGAGACCTAAAAGCAACTTTCCAGTATCTGAAGGGGCCTACAATGAAGCCAGAGGGGGAGTCTTCATCAGGAACTGTAGTGATAGGACAGGGAGGAATGGTGAGACACTGGAACTGGTTGTCCAGGGAGATTGGGAATGCCCCATCCCTTGGCAGGGTTCAAAGCCAGGTTGGATAAGGCCTTGAGCAACCTGGTCTAGCAGGAGGTGTCCCTGTGCATGGAGGGGTGGGGTCTGGATGATCTTTAAGGTTCATTCTAATCCCTTAATGTTCTGTGATTCTATGATTAGGTTTCTGACTTGAGCTTACCACACTACTGCACTTTAAAAATACAAGCTCTATTGTGGAATTATGGTTCAAGAAGAGCATGCACGTCTTGGAGCAAGTGCCAAGGACAGTCACAAAGGTGATAGGACGCCTGGAGTATCTGATCTATGAAGACAGGTTGAAAGAGTTGGGAATGTACAGCCTGGGGAAGAGAAGGCTCTGGGGAGACATTATAGCACCTTCCAGTACCTAAAGGGTCCTTACAGGAAAACTGAAGAGGGACTTTTTACAAGGGCATGCGGTGATAAGGCAAGGGGAAATAGCTGCAAACTGAAGGAGTGCAGGTTCAGATTAGATAGTAGGAAGAATTCCTTTATTGTGGGGGTGATGAGGTGGTGTTGGATAGGACTTTGGGCTACCTGGTCTGGTGAAAGGTGTCCCTATCCATAGGAGGAGGATTGGTACTGTATGTTACTTCCAACCCCAACCATTCTAGGATCCTATGATTCATGTAGACTTTGTCCCAAGGCATCCTTTTTTTACAATTATAATTTATTATTTAATTTGATTCAAATTTAAAATACTTTGTATGAAACATTAATTTAATAAGGTGATATCTCAGTGGTATTTTCCATTTAATTTAGTATAAAAAGTGTTGATGTTTCAGATAGTAAAGTGAAATAGCTGAGGGGGATTAAATTACAACTCTATTTCCTCTTACTTTTAAACATAGCATGTCAGGGAGTTAGGATTGCCACAAAATATTGTTCACATTTTATGGTATGCTTGTATTCACATTGTCCAGAACATTGATGATGTATAACGTCTTCAAAGTCACTCATATAATTTACACAGGTGACTTAAAAATTGAGGTGCCTAACAAGTCTTTAGTAAGAAATCTGTGGGACTAATCTGTGCTACAACTCTTAAGAAGAGAATTGAAAATACTACGCTTGACTTCATGTTACCTGAGCATGCACTACCTTGTCTCCTAAAGCATTTTCATGCTGTGAGCACGTGTCAGTGTGTGAAAATTTAATACATCAGATGCCTATAAGAATTCCTTCATTCTCAAGTGCTGAATCATTTGTCAGCATTTGGGAACTTGACAGTATTTAGGAAGGCATTTATATCTGTCCAAAGTAAATGGACTATGCTGCCTCTAGAGATTGCACAAGTGCAAAGCCTGTACAAACGTGGGGCACTGGAGGGTTTACTTCTGGAGAAGGAAAGGTGCAACGGAGAGTCTGTGTCTCCAGAATGTTTCCCTGAAGTTCAGGCATGTAAGGCCCTGATTCTCTTCTGCCATTGTCTTTCCTATGGAGGGTGAGAAGACTGACAGTTGTGAGACCAAACACTTTTCCTATTTATTCTTAGGATTCACACACCTGTAAAACACTGTTTTGAAAGGTGCCTTTTCTGGCTTTTTTTATCAGCAGAGCTTCTATAGAAATTGCTATAAATGACTGACTTCTTACCAAGTATACATGATGGGCAGTAATCAGCACAGGTGTGCATGAAGGTATCACTTTTAGTGGAAGGAATTCTGTTACTTCTTGTTTGCAAGAAGGTGGCTACAGTAGACTGCAAGAAAAATAAAATCCCTGCAGTTGTTTTTATAAAGCTGCTTGTCTAAATTGGATTGGTAACCTTGTCAAAATACTCCATCAAGAGGAACTTCCAGTTTTCCAAACAGTCAATTATGTCTGAGACTGTAATAATAAAGGGCTTTGTTAGAAAGTCTAAATGTACTTAAAGTACCATGAAATCCCTACTTCCCATAGTTTGCCTCTGGATGTCTGTATATGCCAGTGTGACTGAAATTTTGGGAAAAGATATGTACTTGCTGAAATAGCCATTAATAATTCATTTATTAGTAGTCAGGGAGTAGGATTTTTGATAACTCTAACAGAGTTTCTCCTCACAAGGGCTGAAGATAACAAGCTATATAGCGTAAACATTCCCTAAAACAGAATCTTCTCAAAGAGATCCTAGTTCTCTTCCCTCCTCATCTTTTTATACCTATTGCTTTGGCTCTCCTTCTCTTTCTTTCTTGCCTTTGAAAGAATTGTGGCTTAAAGTACCTAAGCATTTGAGGGTAATCAGTTTGGGATTAACAGAAGCAGAACAGAAAGCTGTGACTGTGCTGGTTCATTTCGCTTTGAATTTTGAACTCTTTCTATAAATCAGTCTGTAAAAGTGGACAATGAATTGAATTGTTCCCCCAAATGAACATAATTTCAGTAAAGTCTATTAGTAATACTTGCACATGTCTGACAGGAGATCTGGATTCCCTGTCTTAAAACCAGTCTTGTTTAGATTAGCTAGACACTGGTTTGGACATAGGTGCAGATAAGGGTAATTATTTGTCAAGTGCCTTTTGCTATGCTGAATGACATCTGACTTGACTTACTTCTGGTTTCCAGTGGAATTATACTCTTCATGCTGGAGACTGAAAAATCCCCAAGCCCCAAAATAACAAACCCCACAAACTATTCCAACATGAAATGTAAAACTTAAGGAGTGATCTGGTCAATAGTGATATAGTGCTTCATTTGGAGGATTGAAAAAAACTTGTGGAAAAACAAGTGAACAGCAGGATTTGAACAGCCAGTTTCAAAGCAACCGCCTGCCAAATGTCATTCCTGATTGCTTCTGCATATCCTTTAAATGTTCCTTGCCCAGGCTTTCAAATTTTCATTCCAGGTTGGTTCTTTGAAATGCTGCGTTATGGCCCAGGGGATTATTTTAGTAGTATTATTCCTATCAGCATTATTTATTTTAATTATCAGGTACTGGAACAAGAAAATTTGATGCAGTTCAGTTTTTGAGAGGCTATTTGTAATGTAGATGAGATGGATGAATACAAAATGCAGAGAAGGCTGCAGCACATCAAAAGTCTGATTTAATGGTACAGCTTGAAGGGTTCCTCAGAATAATTCTCCATAGTTGCTGCTCTGCTCCTTCATTGGCACCTGTATTTTGAGCTTTATTTCACAGAATCACAGAATAATCCCTTGGAAGGGATCCACAAGGATCATTGAGTCCAGCCCCTGACCCTGCACTGGGCCATTCCCACCATATGCCCAAGAGCATTGTCCAAACACTGCTTCAACTCAAACAGTTTTGGTACTGTGAACACTTCCAGGGGGAGCCTCTTCTGCTCCCCAACCACATTCTGGGTGAAGAACCTTTTCCTGACATCCAGCCTAAACCTCCCCTGACACAACTTCAGGCCATTCCCTTGGGTCCTGTCACTGGGCAGCACAGAGAAGAGATCAGTGCTTGTCCCTCCTGTTCCCCTCATGAGGAAGTTGCAGACTGCCATGAAGTCCTCCCTCTGTTCCATTTAGTGGGAGGTGGTTTGGTCCTCTCCTCCTCTGGAGCACTCATCTGTGCCTGTAGTTATACCCATTCTGCTTAATAGCATCTGACTTAATAATTAGAAACATTTCAGCCTAGAAGAAGGTCTCAGTCTAGGTTTTCAGCCTGAATTACCAGTACCCAGTTCCAGTGCTATTCTCTTGATCACCCAAAATCAATCCTATGCCTTCTCCCTTGATTACAGAAAATTACTTCCTAGTTTTCAGTTGATGTGGCTCTTGCAGTAACTCTCTGTACATCTTCTTTTTGCCCTTGCAGGTATGGAGAAGCATTATTTATGAATTCAAAGCTTGTCAGTGGGGTCACAGAATTCCTCAATACTGAAGGAGAACTAAGAGAGGTAATTTTTAAATTACTTTTGTCATGTGAGGCTGTGTTCATTGCAAGCAGGGAGCAGGGCAGGAACAATAATACTGTTGTCCAGAAACTCCATTCTGTCTGCTGCAGTTGAAGGCCCAACTGCCTGTGTAGCACCGACCTGTGGGGCAGCACAAGGGTGAGGAGCAGATCACAAAAGCACACAAGTGTGTAGGGGTGGTGTCAGGAGGGGGACTGTGCAGGCAGTTCTTTGTGCTTGGCTGGATATGAAGGTTTGTCTTTTTCTCTTGACTATTGGTTGAGAAACTGACGATGAGACGTTTCTATCTTCATTAACTTATGCTGTAGAGGGCAGTCCTTGGAAACATCAATGTTGAAAATAGAAGCTGCCAATGTGTTCTCTGTTTTTCTCTTTCTCACAGTATTTTTCATGTGAGAAAATCTGCTAACTGAATATGCTGGCCAAATGACGCCACAATAATTTGTACTTCTTATTTAGATGGGAAAGATTTCTCATTTTAACTTAACACCTGTTCTGACTGAGGTAGTTTTGCAGTTGTGCTACACCCTGTTTAGCACCAATCAATGCTGCTCCAGATGGATACAGTGATTCTTGCGCAGCACAACCACCATTACTTGAGCTCAGATTGGGCTCTGAGGTTTTGCATCCAGCCATTTTTCTGCACTCAAGTCTAGTGGCCTCAGTAGCTTAGGGAGAGGCCACAGGTGGTTTCCTCCCCTCAGGTGGGAATGACACTGTTGTTCAGATTTGAGTTACAGCCCTGCACAAGGAAGCATTCTGTACTCTTAATTTCCATCTTCATGATAGGATTGGTAAGCTGCCTGGTTGTAGTTCCCTAAAAGAAACTGGTAATGTAAACATTTTGGTATAAAAAGTACAGAGATCCAGTAAAGTCTGATTTTGATAGTTTCCAGGTCTCTTTCATGCTTTTAACTGTGACGGGAACGAGACAGTTGCAGAATCAACTTTTTCAGTTTTGAGCCGTGGCACAGAGATGTTGCTGGAAGTCAGAGCTTAGAAACTGAGATGAATTTGATGTCACCAGGGAAAAAAATAACTAGTTATTCATAAGTGTTGTTAAAACCATCTAATTTTGTACAAGTCAACATAACCTGCAAACTATTGTGTAGAACAGCCTTGCAGTTCTCACTTGAAAAGAACAATAATTGAAAACCTGCCAGCACTGTTGGTTGTAATAATCCAAGTGCTGATGCTATACTTTGAGTATACACAAGAAGAGAGCAAGAGCCTTTTCAATCTGCAGAAGAAAAGATCTAAGTTTTTGTATAAGGGAAGGAGTATGTTTCAGGCATTCAAAGACTATCAAATGCATGCCCACTTACTATTTTGCCATTCTCTTCTCACTGTAACTAACCCTACCTTTTTTCAGCAACTGACCTGTATTATATAACCAAAAGGAATCTGCAAATCAAAATAAAATTAATGTGTTTTGAAGCTTGATAAAACCAGAGGGCATCAGTACTGCCTTCTACTGATATCTGCATATAAACCTTAATTAGAAGCAATTCCAGTGCTTCCAGTTTGGTTTCTTAGGTACAAATAAAAGTTTAGAGCAGCCATCTACACAGTGCTGAGCAGTTGAGCTGCAAGATGGAAGGAGGTAATTATATTAATGTGATCCAGCACTGACATATCAATATCTTCCAGTGCAATGTGAAGCAATTGCATCACATCTAATTGACAGTTTGCTGTCTTAATATATTTCCTATTAAATCTTTCTACCTGATACTGCATTTACTTCTACATTGATTGTGGAAGTTTGTCCTAAATGGCTGCCTTATTTGTATGCACTGGAAATACTTGCTTTCTTTAGTTGCTGCAAATTTAACTTGTTAACTTCTATTTCCAGCTAAAGAACTTTATAAAGAGTTACGAAGGGGGAGCTGCTGTCTCTTTCTCTCGCGCTGTGGAAACAGTGGAAGCCAATGTACGGTGGCAAAGGCTTTATAAGGAAGAACTGTTCCAGTGGCTAAGAAAATCCTTGACACAGTAATCTGTCTTTTTAGCCAATCATTTAACATGACTCACTGCAAGAGGAAGAGGAGACATTTCAAAAGTGTTCAATGTGAAAATCATGAAGACAAGATCAGATTGCAGGGATAAGGTTTTTTGGTTTATTATTTTTTTCATTGTGGATTTTTCTTTTTACACTGAAATCTTGTGAAATTGTCAAGAAGATTTTCAGAAGAGAAGATCACGAATGCTTGCGAAACCCAGTCCTCAGTGTACACAACCAAACATGATATTAAGTGGTGCATGTAAATGTTGGGAAAAAACCAAACAAAAATCCTTTAAAGACTATTTTGTGCATGCTTGTACTGTCTCTGCCTGTATTTTAGCATGCTTATGTATAACAGCCACATTTTGTGTGTGAGTTCTGGTTACATCAAAGTTGGGCATTATACAAAGCACAAAGACTCTATGACAATCACTATTTCAATGGACAAAAGGAAAAGGAAAAGGAAATGCAGAAGGCTTCCAGCTTGGGGTGGTATGAGATGTAAAATCAACTTTCCCACTTGCTGCCAGTTTGTCTACCACTCAGATTTTCTCTTAATGATTGCAAAGATGCCAGCTCAGTTTTTGAGTTACCAGTTGTATCTGCAGTTTCCATATTCATTTATTTAAATAAGCAGAAAGGTGAGAGAGGAGAAAGAGAAAAGGGCAAGCAGCAGGGTTAGAGAGAGAAAATGAGAAGGACATCATCATTACATTCTAATAATATACATTTGTTCACTGCTGATCAGTGAAACAGTGTAGTTTCAACTGTGAAAGTGTGCTGGGGCAGGAGCTTTGCATTGATATCACAAGATCCATGAACCACCTCTTCTCAGCTAATTTACAAGGCACTGAAACTCACAATGGATCACCCAGGTCACCCAGCCTGTGCAGTAGTAAGTTTTTTAGCTCATAGTGCACAGGTATTATAAATAAACATAAGATTCGTGTGAAAATTAGGAAAAAGGGAGAACATCTTGCATGTAAAGACTTAAAATTACTCAAGAGGGCTGTCTTTCATGTGGTAGACCAGTCTCTGTAGTGATTTATTATGGTAGACAGGTCAGATTCTCTATATGGGCAATACTTCTGCAAATACGGAATGTACTACTTATGCCATCATTGAAAAGTGAAATATGGAGAAAGTGAGAGGGGTGTACATGTGTTTATTTGTACTGGCTAATACTGAGAACGTGGTTTTCTTTCTGTTCCCTTGTACTTCACATATACTATTGCTCATGAATGGCATTTTTCTTAATCATGTTTGTTTCTTCTCAATCCTTAGTCTGAAAGATCAGTGACAGAGTGGAGTTGTACAATGACTTATCTGCACTCTGAAGCTAAATGCTGAGGACAAAACTGCTGGGGGCCAAATACTCTCTCATGTCTACACTGTGGAGGAAAAAACCACAAGAATACAGTTTTCAAGAGTCAGATTGCAGCGGCTTCAGAGGTAGAATGTAGATGTGGGGCAGTGTTTCTTTGTCCCATCCCAGCCTATCCCAGCTGTCTGACCACATAGTGGCTGTGTACATTGGAAACACATGGCCCACCAAAGCAGAGAGCAGCCATTCTATCTGGTTGTTGCCCTCTCAAGGGATGGAAATTAACCAGCATGCTTTACACTTGCAGTTTTTTATCCCCAGTAAGTTGTGAATTGAAACATTAGTGTGAAAAGAACTAAACCCAACCATCTTCAGATATTTTCAGAGTTATGTGGAGACAGTGTTGTTTTCTGGGCTCTCATTCCCAAGGTATTCTGCTCCTCAAAAACTAGCAGACCCACCCCATAACAGAGCTGTTGTAGCGATATTGCCCCTGTCATTGTGTGCCCTTTACTTTCGGAGGCTGTTGTTTGTGGGTTGGGTGCATGAAAAATCTGTGTGTGGGCATTTGCTCAGCTGTTCGGTGCTGTGTAGCACATTAGCTTGACTCACATATACCAAAAGAAGAGGGAATCCTGTGCTCTTGTACTGTTAACTCTTTGCCTTATAGTAAGCCCTAAACCTTTGTGCTATGTTGCAGTGCTAGTGAAACTGCTGCCGAGACATTATCATGTCAGAGCTGAGCTGAGTGAAATCCTCCTCCTCCTTTGTATTTTACCTACCTCACAGGGGTGTTGTGAGGCTTGACTAATGTTGGCAAAGCACTTGAATATCTTCTTATGAAAGGCATTTAAAAGTTAAAAGTATTATTTTATGTGGTCGACCAAACTCAACCTTAATGCCAGTATGTAGCGTCACATTTTTAATTTCTACTGAGAAAAATCACATGCAGACTTTTTTTTATGATAAAAATGCAAGCCAAATACTATTCAATATAACCTCTACCCTGTAATGAAGGCCAAAATTGTGATATCCAAAGAGTGTACAGAAAGCCAAGCCCTCAAATACGAATTGCTTGGAGGATTTCAGAGAACAGAAGAGTGTGAAATGGGTCTGTACCTTTACAATTTTATTCAGTATTGTCTTTCATGACTTTTCCAGAACCGCAGATTGAACCACATACCTTGCAAGTTGCACATAAAAGTTTCTGGTCTTCCCACTGATAACAATGTATTCCAAAGTCAAAAGTTCATTACAGCCCGTGTGTTCTACACAGTGCACAGAAATTCCCACTCTTGCTCATTTGGATTGAATTTCTTGCACATTTAGCTGGTGTTGGATGTAAATTGATATTTTAGTGGCCTTGAGCAACTGGTCTACCACAGATATCAAGTCCTAAGTGTATACATTATACATACCTGTTGATGTGTTGCTTATAATTGTTGTATTCTAATAATACTAGTATTATTGCTCTAAGGTTGAACTGGCCTTTCTATTATAATTCTCTATTATTTTATTTTCTATGTTTTGTATTTTGCTGTTTCACACTGAATCAGGATTAAATTTAAATGGATGAAATCTAAAAAATCCCATAACTGTTTTCTGCAATATTCAAACATTCTCCATTTTATTAAACGTCTTTATAAACCTTTTTAAAAGAAGTTTCACACAGCTGTGTTAAAGAATAGTTGATTCCTCATGGAAAGTTCTAATACAACTTGCTTAGAAAAATCTATTTATCATATTGATTTTCTTTCTCTTTTATCAGTCTTTTTCTTCCCTTGTCCATGTCTAAAGGTGGTCCTCATTTTTATGATTTGGAATGTGATTAGGAAGCCAAATACTCTATACTTTTCAGCATCTTCTAATCCATTGTTTGACTTTGTCCTTTCTATTGAGAGGAGATTGTGCAAAATGTGAATGCTGTGTGGACATGGAGATGGGTGTCATTTTATAGAGATTTGATGAGGGTAGAATCTCTGATCAGCCTTTGTATGACTCAGGATCCTTTGTAGTTATTAATAGATATGGTTTCCTAAATCATGTAGCAAAACATATGAATGGACATAATTCTATGCCAGCAAAATGAAATAGTTACTGTATTTTTATAAAATTGTCCACTACAAGTATCTGGCCTCTTACTTTGTAGCTGGTAGAATTATTCATGTGTCCACTGCTAATAGCTGTTAAAATGCTGGTAGCTGCTGATTGTGACAAGGGCAGAACACTGTGAAAGCATTCTTCTGAAATTATATGTCACTTCTGCTATTACTGGGAGTACTTGGACATTAATTATGATAAAAAAACTTCATGGGTTCTCAAGTGCATCTAAATTTGTGACCTTTGATTATCTTTTCAGTGAATATAACAAGAATTCTGATATTACATTGGAAAGTGAAGGTGAATTTTGTGTCGTTTTTGGTCTGTTGTAGATATTCGACTGATCTTTAGAGTGCCAAAGGAAATATGCCCTGATGCAGAAGGGTGCTTTCACAACAAAGATCCTGAAGCATACAATTAAGTCTTTAGTAGTGAAGACTTCATTAAAAAATGAAAAGTGCATGTGAGTATGTGTGTGTGTGTGTGTGTGAGTGAGTGAGTGAGTGAGTGAGTGAGTGAGTGAGTGAGTGTGTAAAATCCTCCACAGAGATACTTTTCCCATAAAAATCTAATTTGGATAGAATAAAACAAAGCTAATATTTGCAGGGGAGGGTGCCTTTATTTAGATACTTGTATAATAAGGTTTTGGTTTTCCACATGATCATAAATGATAGTGAAAATAGACTTTGAGGAAAATGTGCAACTTTTTCTTTGAGGAAAATGGATGTGGTTTTGAAAACTGCTAATGTATATAATCAGCTTATACTCTTGCTATGAGTACTCATCATATCAGGCTGCCTGCCCTAAGCAGGATATATAGCCACAGTGTCAGTATGGGCATGAAGGAGTAAAAGAACAATCCAGCTGTGGAGCAGCCTGAAGAGAGAAGTCTCTTTGCCCAGCTGTGGATGGAGCAGTCAGAAAACTGCTGGCTGTATCACATGCCACTGCTGCCAGACCACCTGGGCTAGGAAAGCAAGTGGGAACCACTGAAATACAGAAAGGATCCATCCAACTTTTTTTCAGCTGTATGGAACACGCAGAAGGTCCTTTGGCTGAGTATGGGTTGTGGGTGATCTTCAGAGATGAATGTCGTTGCCTTGTGCTGCAGAAAGCAAAGGTCCAGCTAATGAACCTGCACTGCTCAGAAAAATCATAAGCCCTGAGCTCTGGCCACCCCAGCTGAAAAGTGCTGACCAAAATGTTTGTAAAGGTCTAGAATATTACAGTGTCCCTTCTTCAGAAGTATTTTGAACAGTCAAATATTTAGTTATCTCGTATGAATAGGAACACAGACACTTTTTCTTTATGATGTTTTTGTTAATATTTGAAAGTGTAACAGGAATTTCTTGAGCTTTTTTCTAACAGGTGGGTTGGAAGGATGTACTAAAAATAATTTGTGGTAATAATTCTAGTAATAGTGGTAACTGTACTCATACCATAAAAAACCCCCAAAAAACAAAGAACAAACAAAAAACCAAAAAAACACCAGTCAGATGCCTGCGTAAACCTGTGTGGCACCAGTGACAGTGCAGCATCCCTTTTGCATACAATAATGTAAAAAAAATTG